AAGAAACATTTATGTTAAGATGAAATCCTCTTTGATGATGAGTTTAAACTCAAATAAAATATTATTTTATATTTAGATATTTAATGTCATTTATTACACCTAAATACAAAGTAAGGCTTCTCTATCCTCTAGTTTACTTGTTTTAAAGAAAGATGAAGAGACTGAAAGAAGAAAGTGAGTTTTAAAGAGAAATTAATCTTCATCTTCTGATTTCTCTTTTACTTTCTTATTTAGAGATAAACAACCATCAAACTCTCAGCAGTTTTTCACTGTTAGACACACATTAAAGTATTTAGTCCCTTTTCAACCTCTGCTTTTCTCCTTTTCATTTAATAATTATATCAAACACAACATCACAAAGCCTAAATGAGATGATCAACAGGATGAACCTGTGATGTTTTATTGTTAAAGAACATTCTGTGGCAGAATGTCTATTTTATCTTGAATGTTTTTGTGATGTCATGGAAACAAACAAACTCACAAAAAGGGCTTTTAGTCCTGTGCTTTGTCCATGAGGTTTGTTCCTCTAGTTACATAGTTCTGCTTTATTCGTGAAAATGTTCATGAAATATAAAGACTTGATGGACAAATTCATAGCTTGAGAAAGACGGATCCTCTTTACACTGTATGGATCTGATAGTTTAGAGACACATTTAAATCATTGAAGACAAACTGACTTAATCTGACCTGAGAGTCTCCAGGTCACAGTGTGGACTCTTCAGTCCAGCAGACAAAAGCTTCACTCCTGAATCCTGCAGGTGGTTGTTACTCAGATCCAGCTCTCTCAGACTAGAGGACTGGGAGCTGAGAACTGAGGACAGAGCTTCACAGCTTCTCTCTGAGAGGTTACAGCCACTCAGTCTGAAGAAACAATGATAAAGAATAAATCAATAAGTATAAAAGATGACAGCATATTTAAGTCCTGATGTATGAATCTAACTCTCTGTACTTACAGAGCTTTGTTAGAGGCTTTGACCACTGGCAGCAGCCTCAGAAGAGTCTCCTCTGAAGCAGAGTATTTCTTCAGGTCAAACACCTCCAGATGTTCTTCTGATGACAGTAAGATGAAGACCAGAGCTGACCACTGAGCAGGAGACAGTTTATCTGTGGAGAGACGTCCTGAACTAAGGGACTGTTGGATCTCCTCCACTAGAGAACCATCATTCAGTTCATTCAGACAGTGGAACAGGTTGATGCTTTTCTCTGGAGACACATTCTCACTGATCTTCTCCTTGATGTACTGGACTGTTCTCTGATTGGTCTGTGAGCGACTTCCTGTCTGTGTCATCAGACCTCGTAGGAGCGTCTGATTGGTCTCCAGGGAAAGACCCAGGAGGAAGCGGAGGAACAAGTCCAGGTGTCCATTAGGACTCAGTAAGGCCTTGTCCACGGCACTCTGGTAGAGATGTTTTGGTTTAGGTTTGTCTCGAAAGACTTTAGACCACCAGGAGGTTGTTTGTTCTTCTGACAGCAGATTGACACCAGAGCTGAAGAAGGTCAGATGGACATGAAGAGCAGTCAGAAACTCCTGAACACTCAGATGGACGAAGCAGAACACCTTGTCCTGGTACAGTCCTCTCTCCTCTCTAAAGATCTGAGTGAACACTCCTGAGTACACTGAGGCTGCTCTGATATCGATGCCGCACTCTCTCAGGTCGGATTCATAGAAGATCAGGTTGCCTTTCAGCAGCTGATCAAAGGCCAGTTTTCCCAGAGACTCCATCATCTTCCTGCTCTCTGGACTCCAGTGTGGATCCGTCTCAGCTCCTCCGTCATACTTGACCTTCTTCACTTTGGACTGAACCACCAGGAAGTGGATGTACATCTCAGTCAGGGTCTTGGGAAGCTCTCCTTTCTCTCTGGTCTTCAACACCTCCTCCAGAACTGAAGCAGTGATCCAGCAGAAGACTGGGATGTGGCACATGATATGGAGGCTTTGTGAGGTCTTGATGTGAGAGATGATCCTGCTTGCCTGCTCCTCATCTCTGAACCTCTTCATGAAGTACTCCTCCTTCTGGGGGTCAGTGAACCCTCTGACCTCTGTGACCATGCCAACACACTCAGGAGGGATCTGATTGGCTGCTGCAGGTCGTGTGGTTATCCAGAGGCGAGCAGAGGGAAGCAGCTTCCCCCTGATGAGGTTTGTGAGGAGCACATCCACTGAGGCCGACTCTGTGACATCAGTCAGGATCTCATTGTTGAGGAAGTCCAGAGGAAGTCGACACTCATCCAGCCCGTCAAAGATGAACACAACCTGGAACTCTTCAAACCTGCAGATTCCTGCTGCTCTGGTTTCATTGAAGAAGTGATGAACAAGTCCCACCAAGCTGTACTTCTTCTCTCTCAGCACATTCAGCTCTCTGAAGGTGAATGGAAATGTGAACTGTATGTCCTGGTTGTCTTTGTCTTCAGCCCAGTCCAGAGTGAACTTCTGTGTTAAGACTGTTTTCCCAATGCCAGCCACTCCCTTAGTCATCACTGTTCTGATTGGTTCCTCTCCTCCAGCTGAGGCTTTAAAGAGATCTTCTTGTCTGATGGTTGTTTCTGGTCTGGCTGGTTTCCTGGATGCTGTTTCAATCTGTCTGACCTCATGTTCTTGATTGACCTCTGCAGTCCCTCCCTCTGTGATGTAGAGCTCTGTGTAGATCTCATTCAGAAGGGTTGGGTTTCCTGCTTTAACGATCCCCTCAAACACACACTGGAACTTCTTCTTCAGGTTGGATTTGAGTTCACGCTGACAAACTGCAGCAAGAAGTCCTGAATGAAGACAACAAAGAAGATCAATGAGTCAAAGAATACATTTCAACATGTCCTTTCCTCAGAGAAAGACTATGAATATATTCTGTCCATCTCTTGAGACACTAGTGAAGGTCTCATTTATCAGCGTGGTAAGTCTGTTGAGAAATCCTCTTACTGCTCTGCAGACGGTCAGCCAGCTCCTCCTGCTCCATTCTCCTCAGGAAGTGCACTGAGATCTTCACAAATGCCTCTCTGCTCCTCCTCTGCTCTTTATCCAGCACCTCCTCATCCTCCCTCTGACTCTCTAAGCATTCTGGGTAATCTGAACGCACAAGGTTCTGGATCTTCTTCAGCTCCTTCTTCACAAAAGCGAGGATGTTCTCCTCCAGCAGCTGGAACAAAACATTCTATGAATGACACAAACTATAACATGGAAGTCACCATCAGGTCCATGTTGGACAGACTGACAATCCACTGGTCTACAAAGTCCAGCATGGAGATGATGGTGAACTGAGAGATGCAAAAGTAGTTGTACATGTACACACCATGAAGATGGAGTCCAGGTGTGTTTCATGCTGCTGGGCAGACGGACCTGTGGGAACCTCTGAGCTCTCCTGGTCCTCTCTGTGGAGGAACATGAACCATCAGCTCACATGGTGTTTGTACCATCAAAACCAATTCAACAGTTAGTTAAAGATATTGGCTTCTGTCATGATTGATCATTATGAAAACCAGATGCTAAAGACTGGACGCAGGTCGTGACAGTTTATTAGTTGAGATGAACCTCTTGTCTGTCCCCTGACCTCTAGTCTCCTAGATCCTCTGAAACAGTCTGCTGACTCTCTGAAAAGGTCTCCAAACCTCTGCATGGAGTCCAGCTGGTCCTGATCCTGATGTGGAGGAACTAGCTCACATTGGGTTTACATTTGAGAAGGTTTTAAGGTTAATGATTTGTCCTTGAATACACAGAGGTGTCAAGTAACGAAGTACAAATACTTCGTTACTGTACATAAGTAGAAAGTTTGGGTATCTATACTTTACTGGAGTATTTATTTTTCAGAGGACTTTTTACTTCTCCTCCTTACATTTTCACGCAAATATCTGTACTTTCTCCTCCTTACATTTTAAAAACTTGTCTTGTTACTTCCGGCTTATCGCAGTTCAACAACACAAAGACAAAAAGAACCCATCTAGATAAATGTCGCTATGCGGACAGAGTGCATTTGATTGTGTTTGGATAAGATTATAAACATTTAGCATCCAGACACCCGATTGGTTTTCTCCGTGATGCGCCGGCAGATCGGAGCGACACCGGGTGGGAAAAGTGGTCGGTGGAAAGTTGGTATTTATCGACATGGACCCTCCTCCTCTTCCTCACACAGATTCCATGTAACGTTAGATGAGTATCTTCATGACCGTGGGTTTGTCCTAAATGTTTTATTGAGAGTCTGGCACAACACAGCGACTTGCAAGCAGCGTATTAAATAAAGTGATGTGTGTCTTAATGCGGCTTTGGAGATGAACACAAAGGGATTCTGTATTTGCTCATGAAGCCTGAACATTCTGGTTATTTGGCCAATGTTTTGATAACCGACCGCTGCCAGTTCAGTGTTTCCCATCATTATAAACAGGGGTGCGCCCCCCCCCCTGGCGTAGTGAACCTGGGGGAGACACTGCAGTCTACCTCATCAATGCGAACAACGTGTGTGTGACTCGTGTCACTGGAAAATGGGTTGTGGTTTTATCTGTTTAAGTCAGATACATTTGTTGTTGTTGTTTCCATCATCCCAACGGCAGGTCACGTGATCTGCAGGCGCCTTCTGATCACATTGTAACGGATTGACGTGTTGTGTGAGCGAGGTTACACATTAAGAAATTGTACTTTTACTTTTATACTTTAAGTAGTTTTGAAACCAGTACTTTTATACTTTTACTTAAGTAAAACGCTTGAGTTGGTACTTCAACTTATACAGGAGTCTTTTTAAACCCTAGTATCTGTACTTCTACTTGAGTAATGAATGTGAATACTTTTGACACCTCTGTCAATACATACAGACCAGTTAGATAAAGATGACAAGTTCTCTCATGATTGTTCGTCATGAAAACAACACGTTAAACGATGCACTACCATTTCTGTAATTCATAACTAAGCATCAAAATTATTCTTCATCTGTTTCATCTGCTTAATAACTTACTCTGGGTCATAAGAACGACATCCATCTTTGAAGTTAATCCCAAGATCTTTAGACCGATCACTCTTCATGGACACACATCTGGGTTCAGGAGACTTTCCTCTCTGCTGATGTGAACTGAAAGAAACACTGAGATTACATCATCACATCATCATCTAATCATGAAGCATCAGCTCACATGGTGTCCGTCCTCACAGAGACCAAAACAAGGTAAAGGTCCATGAAGTGATGTCTGGTTGTGGACCACATAGGGCTGCAAAAGGTCGGAAAGTTTCCGCGGGAATTTGGGGAATTTTGAGAAAAAAAATGTTTTTGCATGTAACAGGGAACTTAAATGTAGTGGAGAAGATTATGCTCAGCTGGACCCTGGATGCAGCTGGTTGGGAACATTGTCTGCCAGAAACATAAACGTAAACATAAAACGTACAGGTTGTTTTTGAATGTCTTTGTCATTACCGAGCATATTGATTACTTGGTAAACTGAAGCCATGTTTCTTTTAATATTTAAAGTTTATATGTATACAGTAGACCAGGGGTGCCCAACCTTTTTTTGAACCAAGATCTACTTTTAAAGTTGATAGCGTATTGAGATCTACCAAGCCATATCGAAAGCCGTAGCGTAGCCACAATTTATTGCGCACCTATATAGGACACTGTTTTTTGACACATAGATACAGTTTTAACAATCATAATACATTTATTGAAGTAAATGTGAATTTGCAAAGAATAAGCACAAGTAGGCCTAGGACCGGCCCGTAACAACAAAACAGACAAACAACCCAAATAATACAATGCCTAATTCTTTCAACTTTTATAAGAACTAATTAAAGTTGGAAAAGTGGCATTACTCTACCTTTTCTGGCACTGAGAGGAGGAAGCGAGTCTCTCATAGTCCGGACAGTAAGAGCTGAGTGCCAGCCGTAAGCAGACTGCAAGGTGGTCATCAGTCATGGTGGATCTGTATTTTGACTTGATGATTTTCATATGTGAAAAGGCAGACTCACACAAATATGTTGATCCAAAAAGTGCAGTCAAATTCTCTGCAGTTTGTCTGAGGTTGGGGTACTTCTCTTTCTGTATTAGATTCCAGAATCAGACATTCATGTCAGGTGTTGCTCTGGATTTGAGCTCAACGTCATTCTTCAGTGTGAGGATCTGATTCTCAACAGCACAGCTATCCAGGTTGAAGAGTGATGCCACTTTGGACGTTATACAATCCACATTTTCCCCAAATGTAAAACAGAGATAGCTGACAACAGGCTCAATGGATGCAAAGTCAGTGAAGCGCCTGTCAAATTCTGACAAGACGCTCTGCACTTGCTCATCATAACGTGCATCCTCAAGCTGCGCCCAGTCTTTGCCCACAGCCTGGGCTGCCAACTCTCACGCATCGGCCGTGAGACTCACGCATTTCATCGGTTTCACGCGCTCCCACGCCACACCTCCGATTTATCACGCCAAAAAAATTGGGAGACTACCATTGAAAAAGAGGGGCGGCAGAACACAACAGTAATGTACAGTTCCCTTTCCTGCCCATGGACACGTTTACAACGCGCTCGGTATCGGCCGGTCTCACGCCAGGTTTTTGTAAAAGTCTGCAGCTGTTTCCCTGTTTCTAAATAAATCTATTACAATCAAGTTGATGTCTCGAGTTCCATTATCGAGAGTCGCTACAGTAGCTCGTTAGGCTGCGCTGGTAGGCGCATTGCATTATGGGACAATCTTTGGATCCATTTAAATCTCTATCTGTTATGTTCATGTTCTAGTGTTTAAGTTTATGTGTGTTTTTCTAGGTTCTGTTGTGTTGTGCTCAAATGTTACAGTTTAATGTGTAAGAGTGTGGGCACCATGACCCAACTTAGTATGGCTGTGGGTCAAGTTCTGTGTTCAACACCTTAACAAAGTGTCCCGGGGTCAAAATTTCTCGCCATCGACCGCAACTCATCCCGCGATCGACTGGTTGGGCACGACTGATTTACAGGAAGTACAGTAACAGGAAGTTTACAGGAAGACTTCCTCTCGACTGCCCTGGTTGCGCACAACTGCAGTAGACTAACTTCATACAGCAGTGAGTATGATGTATTTTTGTCCATACAAAAGTACACCATCATCTTGGTCCACTTTTCACATTACAGCAGGGCTATTGAGGCCACACTACTGCATTTGAGCACAAGGAAAACATTGACTCAGTCAAGGTTTGATGATATTACTGGGGTAAATATATTATTGATAAGACAAACCAGCTGCTAGTCATTAACAAACTGACAGCTCATCGTTGGAGAAAAGCTCAATGCATCAAATTTGGGAGATGGACTACTGTACAGTGGAGGCTGTGTTCGAAAACGCTTAACAGTAAGATAGCTGTTTTACTACCTTGATGTCTCATCAGGACCGGTGTCTGACTCGAGATATTTTTACGAGTGAAGGTATCTGAAAAAAACGTTGTTTTCGAACAGTCTTTTAAGATAGTTGATAAAAATGTTGGTGCGCTGAAAGAACGTTAGGCTATCTAACGTAGGCTAACGTGCTAATGTTGGCTGATCAACCATTATTGATGGTTACAATAATGACGTTATTGGATAGAACCTTTCTCTAAACGCAGAAAGATGTACATTTAATACAAAAATTACTGTCAAGAGGATGATTGCATGGTATCTTCTAAAAGCGGAAAAACCCAAACTTGTTGGGGGGTGGTGATCATAGGGAATACACATTTTTTATTCAACGTTAATGTTTTTGTTGTTCGATGAAGTTCTACTCACAAAATGTCAAAAAAGTCAATGTCTTTTTTAAATGTTGTATTAGAAATGTTTGCATGCATGTGTGCTTATGACAAGGTAAATACAGTTGAACAACCCCAAAATTTCCAGTTCATTCACACTATATCCCGTATATTTTATCCCATGGAAAGTTTCCAACTTTGAATATAAAATTTTGCAACCCAAAGACCACGTGACTCCCTATAGTGGTTTAGACCAACTGGTCCTGCTGGTCCCACTGAGAAAAACAGGTCAGTCTTCCAGCTCACTGTTTTCTTCACCAGTCAGTTTGATTTAGTCCCAACAGGTCTCACCAAGTCCTCCATGGAGCTCCCCCTCCCTCACTGGACACTGCTGAAGGGCCTTGGAGCAAGAAACCCAGAACCTCCACCAGAGAGTCTGCTAGAAACACCTCATCATCAACCTGAGACCCTCACCTTGCATCAACAGACGGGCGGCCATCTCTGAATTTTACAGGACGATCCATAGACCGGTTACTCTTCATGGACACACAGCTGGGTTCAGGACCAGGTCCAGGATCAGGTTCATATCCAGATGCGGGTCCAGGTCCTAGTCTCTGATGGATCCTGGTCACACATGTAGAACCAGTCACAGTGAGTCAGTGAGTCAAAGACGTTGGGACATGGAGAAGAGTGGAGGACAGTTGGAGATGGTCCTCTCACCTCTGAGCTTTGGTCTGGCTGTCATGTTCCCCACACAGAGGGGCTTCAGAGGGAGGGACTCCCTCCTCTGGGTCCTCACCCTGATTCATAGCAGAGTTCACACCTTCACACCTTCACAACAACCTGCTGGGAGAGCTCACACATTATTTATCTTCATCAGGACAAACACACAGAGCTCATTCACCTCAATACTAAAACTCTCATGGGACACTTGTTCTGTGTTGATGTCGTCTATCTGTTAAAGTTTAGACATCTGGAGAAAAACAAACTTTATTTTACCTTCTTTAAACCCTGTTAACATGTCAAGAGACGTCATTTTAAATGCTCATCCTATAAATGTAGTTTTTACAAGATGAATATTATCAGTCATCCCCCAGCAGATGGAGCTGTACTGTTTCTCCTCTTGATCTCCTTCAGGAAAAGATCATGAAGTCAGTAAAACACAGACCAGTAAGATGACATGTAGCAAAGTGATCAGTTAGTAAAATGTCAACTACAACCTGGTGATCAATGAGAGAAAAACTGAACACTAAAGAAAACACAAACACATTCAAACACTCTAAAAAGTGACAAAATGTATTTAAAGGAGATGAACATGAAGTATTGTGGACTTAAAGGACTGAATCAGCAGGTGAGCGCAAACAGAGCGTCTCTCAGGTGTGTTTCAGGAACAGAGGCCCAGGTGAGCTCTATGGTCTCTGCTGGGTCCTAGTGCCCCTCTGTCTGCTACCTTCCCCTCCTCATCAGTAAGAGTCCTCACAGACCCCACATCAGACTGAGCTCCTCTTCTTCATCAGTGTCATCATTCAAACCAGGGGAGCCCAATAGGTTGATCGCGATCAACCGGTCGAAGTGCCAGTATCACGTCAGCGCATCGCATCCGTGGTCGATCACGCGTGAGCTAACGGAAAACTATTGCTAATGCTGATTAGCGATCCTTGCTTACGAACAGACACATTTAATTTCGTTCAAAAGAGACTATGAGATGGAATCCGCTTTATCCAGATGTTACTGTACTGCTGTCGTTTCCGCTATCCATGGTAATAAACAACCACTATTTGTGCTCTTTATTTGTTGTGTGAATTACACAAAGGTGTTGTGTTCGGGTTCATGACATCAACGCATCTACTTCCACATCCATATAGAATGTGAACTTCCATATATTTCCTTGTTGGGATGTGAGCTGAGGGTGATGGGCAGTGTTGAGTTTCACCACACAGCATTTGCATTGAA